AGGAGGGAACCCAGCTCTTTAATGAAAAGCCTAGCGGGTAGGGAAGCATTGTGAGCATTTAATGCGAGAGTCGAGTCTGGCAGCACCTTGGAGACCAACAAGATTGCGTGGGGTGTGAGCTTTTGAGGGTCAAAGCTTCTTTCATCAGTTTTGGCATCTGATAGCTGACAAAACGAGCTGCTTGGACTCTCCAAAGCTTCTGCCCCGAAAATTGTCGGTCTCAGAGGCAGTGTCCCCTCCGAGCTGAGTTTAGTGTGAGCTAGCTCACCATTTTTCAGCCTCCGGCTCACCCATTTTTGTCTCAGCTCAGGAAGGAGGGCTCCGGAGCAAACTGATTTATGCAAGAGCCAAATCGCTCGCTCACCACTTTAACGCCGGTAGCTCACAGAGTAGGATTTTTGCTCACAGGACTCCACAGCTTAGAGGGAGCATTGCTCAGAGGGCTCCTGGACTTGTCCTGCCGTTCTGGTGCAGACTGACATGCTCACCTTCTGAAACGAAGCATTTCACGTGCTCTCCGACGAGGCTCATTGAGAAGAGTCACCGACATGGTTTCAGGAGAGAATGAGGAGTTCTTCCCCCCCCCACCAAATCAAATTCAGTTCTGAAAATGCAATAGAAGTCAGGAACTGAAGTTGCCAACCTCCAGGGTGGGAGCGGGAGATCTTCTGGAATCACAACTGATCTCCAGACTTATTTAAAACATTTATTCCACTTCTCCCGGAGGAAATGGCTGCTTTGGAAGGTGGACTGCGTGGCCCTCGACCCTACCAAAGTCCTTCCCTGCCCTAAAGCCCACTTTCCCAGGCTCCACCCTAAAATCTCCAGGTATTTCCAAACCCAGAGTGGGCAATAGGGTGGCCAGCTCCAGGTTGGGAAATTCCTGGAGATTTTGAGGGAGGAGTCAGAGGAGGGCGGGGTTTGGGGAGGGGAGGGACGGCAATAGGGTCTAATGGCAGAGAGTCCACCTTCCAAAGCAGCCGTTTCCTCCAGGGGGAACTGATCTCGGTCGCCTGGCGATCAGTTGTAATCCCGGGAGATCTCCAGCCACCATCGGGAGGTTGGCAACATCAGTGCCATGGGAGGGGACCCCCCCCCGCCCCCAGGCACCGCATGGGGGAGAGCCGATCTGCAGTTAGAGGAAGGAAAAATCCCGCTCATCCCTTCGGTCCCTCAAAAACCTTCTGTGGGGCCCAAGCCAATGACCATGGCTTATAATGCATTGGCTAGAAAGCTCGTATAACATATTGCATTTCCCTATCGATAATAGGATAAAATGCCCTAGGGTCCACCTTCCAAAGCAGCCATTTTCTCCAGGCGAACTGATCACCCAGAGATCAGTTGTAATCCCTGGAGATCTCCAGCTGCCTCCTGGAGATTGGCAACCATCGTTGGCAACTCTGCTATGAACAGGAAGCATGCCGTGCTTGAGAGGGGCAGTTTTCCCACATGGTGCCTTGGTCAAGGATATCCACTTGGCCCTTCAAGGGTGTCCATTTGGCCAGTCTGGTTAAGTGCGCGAACTCCAATCGGGGAGAACCGGGTTTGATCCCCCACTCCTCCGCTTGCACCTGGCTGGATGACTTTGGGCAAGCCGTAGTTCTGACAAGAGCTGTCTTTGAAAAAGAGCAGTTTCTGTCAGAGCTCTCTCAGCCCCGCCTACCTCACAGGGTGTCTGTCGTGGGGAGGGGAAGGGCAAGGAGATTGTAAGCCACTCTGTGACTCCTTCGGGTAGTGAAGGGCTGGGTATAAATCCAGTCTCTTCCTCCTCCTCCTCC